TATCCATCCCTCCTTCCCTCTCCCTCGATCCTCCATCCGTCCCTCTATCCATCCCTCCTTCCCTCTCCCTCGATCCTCCATCCGTCCCTCTATCCATCCCTCCTTCCCTCTCCCTCGATCCTCCATCCGTCCCTCTATCCATCCCTCCTTCCCTCTCCCTCGATCCTCCATCCGTCCCTCTATCCATCCCTCCTTCCCTCTCCCTCGATCCTCCATCCGTCCCTCTATCCATCCCTCCCTCCCCCTCGAACCTCCATCCATCCCTCCCCCTCGATCCTCCATCCATCCCTCTATCCATCCCTCCTTCCCTCTCCCTCGATCCTCCATCGATCCCTCTATCTCCCCATCCCTCCCTCCCCATCTGTCCTCCATCCCTTCCTCTACCCATCCCTCCCTCCCCATATATCCTCATATATCCATCCATCCTCATATATCCTCCATCCGTCCATCCCCTTATTTCCTTGATCTATCTGTCCTTCCCCATATTTCCTCCAGCTCTCCATCCATCTATCCATCCATCCATCCCCATATTTCCTCCATCCATCCATCCACCCATCCATCTCCATATGTCCACTCTAACTATCCTATCTATCAAGACAGACAGCCCCATCCACCTCCTCAGTCTGTCCTCTGATCCCTCCATCCCTCCATCCATCCATCCATCCATCCCCATACACCCCACCCATCATCTGTCATTCTATCCATCCCCATATGCTCCTTCTCCTTCCCCTGCCATCCATCCCCATACACCCCCCGTCTGTCTCTCTGTCCATTCATCCTCCTCTCTCCCTCTCTCTGACTGTCTCTCACAAACAAGCCCTGTGAGGAGGAAGTGGGGTCAGAGCAGGTTGGGGGCTGGCCGGGAGCCAGGATTCCTGTGTGCTGCGCCGACTCTGGGAGGGCAGTGGGGTCTAGTGGTTAGAGCAGAGGTGGTCTCTGGGGGAGAACCCTTTTGGGGGGAGGGGGTCAGGCCGGCGGGGCGGAGCAGCAGGGCAGCAGTGGTGGCACAAGCAGCCATTAAGCTGTTTAAGTGGCTCCGTATTTGGGCAGCCGAGTCTTTTTTTAGCCCAGTGTTGTGACGCTGGCGCGCTGGGCTTTCCTCCGCCAGCGAGGGGAGGGCAGTATTGCTAAATCTGCTGTTTGCCTCTCGAGGGCTGGGAGCGCGCGAGCCGGAGAACAAGAGCGATAACACTAATTATGATCAAGAATTACTCCGCAGAAGCAGCCCGGCACTTGGGGCATGTCAGCGTCGCTCCCTGGCACTGAGATGCAGCTGCCTCTGGGGTGGGGCGGGGCAGCTGTTTAACAGCTGTATGGGAGGGGACTGCTTCTACCATGCGGCCCTTCACTCCTGGTAGATAACCCAGGAGTCCTGGCTCCCAGCCCCCCTCAGCTCTAACCACTAGATCCCACTCCCCTCCCAGGGGTCTAGCCCACAAGGCTAGAGAGGCGCAGTTGAAGATGGAGAGATGCCCCAATATACACAATATACAGCCACGCTGGGGTACATCACTTGCATGTGTCACACAATACGTAACCAAAAGCCACAAGTGGGCACAAAAACACACAACTAGGCAAACACACCAACGTGCACACACGCGCGTCTGCTCCCGGGGAGCCTCCTGCCGCTCTGCGTGGAAAGTGTAACCCCCGGCATTTTCAGCACTTACACGTTTAGTTAAACACATTTTAACATCTCTGGGCACTGGGCCAGCCCTGCCTGCCAGGGGAGAGCGCCCCCTGCTGAGCCCTGTCCCACTTCCTGCCCCACAGCGCCCCCTAGTGCTGCACTGGGGCACTGGGCCAGCCCTGTCTGCTGGGGGAGAGCGCCCCCTGCTGAGCCCTATCCCACTTCCTGCCCCACAGCGCCCCCTAGTGCTGCACTGGGGCACTGGGCCAGCCCTGTCTGCTGGGGGAGAGCGCCCCCTGCTGAGCCCTATCCCACTTCCTGCCCCACAGCGCCCCCTAGTGCTGCTCCCCTGCTGAGCCCTGTCCTACTTCCTGCCCCACAGCGCCCCCTAGTGCTGCACTGGGGCACTGGGCCAGCCCTGTCTGCTGGGGGAGAGCGCCCCCTGCTGAGCCCTATCCCACTTCCTGCCCCACAGCGCCCCCTAGTGCTGCACTGGGGCAATGGGGCAGCCCTGCCTGCCAGGGGATAGTGTGCCCTACAGGGCCCTATCCCACAGCGCCCCCTAGTGCCATGCTGGGGCACTGGCCAGCCCTACCTGCCAGGAGAGAGCACCCCCTGCTGGGTCCCTGCCTGCCCCACAGCGTCCCCTAGCGCCACCGTAGGGCATTGCAGTCAGCACTGACGCCACTCCGCAGGCTGTCTATTTTGGCGACGACCGGTTCCTGGAAGGACAATGGGAATGTGATAGTCCCCCAAGCAGAGGATGCGCTCCCCTCCCTGCCCGGCCTTCTCCCAGCCACCGGAGCGTGTGCGTCTATGTCACCGCTCCAACACGCTGCACGGTGACCTTGGAGTGAAGGAGAGGCCATGAGAGAGGCGAGCCCCCTTCCCAGTGCATCTGCCCCCCTCCTCTGCCTCTCCATGCCTCTTCCCCCCCCCCCCCAGTACCTTTGGGACCCCCATCTTTTCCCAACTTTGGGGGGATGGGTCTTTCTCCCCCAGCTCTGGGGTGGGACCCCCCTGGCCCATGTCGGCATGCGCTCTGCAGCTCTGGGGCTCTGCACAGCACGCATAGGCCACCCAGGGGACAGGGGAAGAAATGTTTCCAGACTGCTGCTCCAGAACACGTCGCCCAGAGTCAGATCAAGTTTGGGAGAGCGTCTTATATAAGTGGAGTGTGAGCCTGGCCTAGCCAGGGCTGCGAGGAGAGCCGTGGGAGGGGGAGCAGGGAACACACAGACAGACAGACAGACAGATTAGATAGAGTGTAGCGGGAAGAGACAGGGCGGCGTCGGGATGGATACAAGTGGGGTTAAATAATTGCTTTTTTTTAAACTAATTTTGATCAATCTACACATTTTTCCTCCAATTTTCATATGTCAGTGCAGACAAGTCTACTTCAAGCTCTCGGGCCTGGTTGTCTTTACTTTGCTCCGCTGTCAATTTCGGTTGCTGTCGATGGCAATAGCTCTTCCATTGATTTGCCTGCGTGTGTGCGCGGTGAAATCAATGTTTATCAATAAAATATGAATCCTTCCAAGGCTAGATCAGAGGCTCTGTATCTTTCCTGACGTGCATACCCCTTTTGATTTGCCTTGCAAGCCCCTCATGTGTCACCTCATTTAAAAATGACTTCTTTACAAAATCAGACATAACAATACCACAGTGTCCCAGCGTACTACTACCGCCCAATGGCTGGCTTTCTCGTTTTTACTCGAGGATTATACAGGAAATCGTCTGGAATATAAAGATGGTGCTTACGTTTCAGGGTGTAGTAAGGGGAAGGTGAAGGGTTAGTTTACAGGCTAGTTAATTAGTTGCTCCCCGCCCCCCTTGCTGCCTCTGTCAGATAGAGGCAGCAAGCAAAGCAGCAGCACCACTCGAAGCCGGGGGCCAGACCCTGGGCTCCACATGGCGCTGCCACTTTGAAACACGCGTGCAGCCCGGGGCCAGCTGGGGTGTCCCCAGGCTGCACACGGCGTTTCAAAGCAGCAGCGCCGCGGGGAGCCCGGGACCAGCTGGGGACTCCCCCGCTGACCCCAGGCTCCGTGTGGTACTGCCACTTTGAAACGCCGCAGGGAGCCCAGTGTCCGACGCCCCGCAGCGTTTCAAAGCGGCAGCGCCGTACGGAGCCCGGGAAGGGGAGTGGGGTATGGAGGGTTAGAACTGGGAGGGATGGGGGTCGGGATTGCTGGGTTCTGGTCTTAGCACTGCATGACTTTGTCCCAGCCTCTTTGGTGCTCTGTGCCTCAGTTTCCCCCGTTGCTGCTGTAGATCTGTTCCTTCCTTGGGCCGGGCTGACTTTAGTATTTGGGGGGAGGGTTGGATGGGGGAACCCAGTGTAACCCTCCCCTTAATCTCTTGCCTCCCAAATCCCGCTTCCAGGGTGTGTAGAGCTGCATAGGCCTCACAGGCCATGGTGAGAAATGTGGGCCAATAGCACAGCATCACAAGGGGGCGGCTAGCGACAGGACCGGGGGTGGGAGATCAAGTCGTACCCCCACTGTGCTCCCCTGGGGACATATGAAGGCAATGCAGTGCGTTAGGGATAGATAGATAAGATGCTGGATGGATGGGCGTACGTGGGGGGAGAGACGGGGATCCATTTTTACCCAGAATGCCAGTTGAAAAGGGATCCGGCCAGCTCCGGTCAGCACTGCCGACTAGGCAGTTAAAACGCCGGCTGGTGGTGCAGCGGGACCCGTGCTCGGCCCCCTGCCTGGCCTGGCTCTGTGTGGCTCCCAGAAACGATTGCCAGGTCCTTGCAGCCGCTGGTACATGAGCCGCTGGGCGTGCTGCCCCTCCCCGAGTTCCGGCTTCGCAGCTCCCATTGGCCAGGAACCGCAACCAATGGGAGCTGCAGGGCAGTACCTCAGGGCAGCATACAGAGCTTCCCTAGTAGCCCATGTGCCTAGGGCCACAAGGGCCCTGGTCCCACTCCCTGAGAGCCCCCGTAAGTGCTGCCAGGACTCGGCACCCCAAATCCCCTCCTGCCCCAGCCCTGAGCCCCCTCCTGCACCCCAAAGCCCACATCCCCAGCCTGCACCCCCAGCGATGAGCAGGCTGGCAACCCTCGGAGAACCAGCAGAGTTGTGGGGGAGGGAGTTCAGGCCTCGAACCGGGGGAGGCGCTGCAGACAGTTGCAGTGCACAGGCCATATCTTCCTTCACTGCGTATCCTACATTGGAGGACAACTGCTGCGCTCCACCCTAGACGTGGCTGCATCCGAGCACGGGGCAAACCATGTCTGCACCGCGGCGCTGCACAGCTGTTCCCCAGCGGTCCCGTCCCCCCAGAGGAGGCTGCATCTCAGGGCTACAACCTCCCTGCAAATTGCTCGAAGGCGGTCGCTGGGCTCAGTGTGCAAAGCCTCTTACCTCTTCCCTTGCCTCCTCCCCAGGCCAAAGACAGCGACGATGAAGAAGAGGTGGTTCACGTGGACCGGGACCATTTTATGGATGAATTCTTTGAGCAGGTAGGAGAGGAAGGGCAGTTTTTCAGAGGAGAGGTGCCCCACCCCAGCACTGGCTGCAGCGCCCGGCCTGCTGGTCCCGTGTAACCTGGAATAACTCCGGCCGAGGCAGGCGGTTCGGAAGTAGAGTGCAGCTGGCGTCATTAATATGCAGACAGGGTGATTAATATGCAAAGGCGCTCCCTAATGATGCAGTTTGTCCTTCGCAGGCAGGTGGTGGTGTCATAAATTACACACCTGGCCTAGGTAATACAGCAGCCATGGGCGGGGGCAGGAGGAATAGCACAGCCAGCCTGGCAGTCCCTTTCCCACGGCACGGCGCTAGGGGCCGATGTGGGGCAAGATCCAGGGCTGCAGTGCAGCACCGCTTGGAGGCACGCTGGGGCAGTATGGTCTGTACTGCCTGCCGGGGAGAGCGTCCCCTGCTGGGCCCTGCCCCACTGTCTGCCCCACAGCGCCCCCTAGCACCACCCTGGGGCACTGGGCCAGCCCTGCCTGCCCGGGGAGAGCGCCCCCTGCTGGGCCCTGCCCTGCTCCCTGTAGCCCAGCGCCCCCTGCTGCTGTGCCTGGCGAGTGCAGCGCGCCCGGGCGTGAGCCTGTCTGTCCTTCCCCAGGTGGAAGAGATCCGGGGCTGCATAGAGAAGCTGTCGGAGGATGTGGAGCAGGTGAAGAAGCAGCACAGCGCCATCCTGGCTGCTCCCAACCCAGACGAGAGTGAGTCCGGGTGCCCCAGGCCCATCGCTTCCCCGCCCTGCTTGGCAGAGGGGGACAGAACTTGGACCTACCCATGTCCCCTCCATTGCTCCTTCCTCCAGTGGAAGAGATCCGGGGCTGCATAGAGAAGCTGTCGGAGGATGTGGAGCAGGTGAAGAAGCAGCACAGCGCCATCCTGGCTGCTCCCAACCCAGACGAGAGTGAGTCCGGGTGCCCCAGGCCCATCGCTTCCCCGCCCTGCTTGGCAGAGGGGGACAGAACTTGGACCTACCCATGTCCCCTCCATTGCTCCTTCCTCCATCTTCTCGCCCGCTCCCCCTTCACCCGTCCCTCTCCCTGCATGTCTGCCCCC